GGGATGGGGAATACATGTAAATCCATGGCTAATTCATTTCAATGTATGACAAAAACTACTGTAATGATGTAAAGTAATTAGCCTCCAACTAATAAAAATAAATGGAAAAAAAAAATAAAAAGCCCCCCCCAAAAATAAATAAAATACAAATTAAAAAAAAAATAAATGATGGGTGTATCTAAGAAGCCATAACAAGGAAAATTAGAAAATATGTATAATAGAATAAAAATGAAAAGAGAATTTACTAGAATGTGTTGCATGCAGCTGAAGCTGCTCAATGCAACTAAATACAATGTGGAGTCTTGAACAAGGTATGAAAACAAAAAATGAACACTAGCATAAAATTTTGTGAAATCTGAACAAAATCTGTACTTTAGTTAATAATACTGTATCACATGTTAATTTCTTATTTGTTGTTGTTGTTGTTGTTGTAGTTGTTGTTAAAAACATAGTATTCTTTATATCCTCAGAACTGGATTAGAAGTTTCAAGCCTCATTCAATTTTTTTAAAATTACTAAGATAATAAATTTTCTAGACTATTAGCAGTAATACTAGATGCCAAAATACATGGAAATATATTCAAAGTTTTGAGGTAATATAAATTAGAAATCTAGTATTCTATTCATACTAAGTCAAACAAGTGGGGTCAAAATGTCATAAATCTTTTAGCTCAGCAAAAATTCATAAATTTTCTAAAAACATATATATCATACACTATATATATGTATACAAAAGCTTTTCTACTGCCCTTGATAAAGGCTTGAGAAAGAACAAGAACAACAAAAAAAGAGATGGAGAAATTGGAAAACATATACTAAATGAAATGGGAGCACTAAATATGAAACAGAAAAAGTGAAACAAACTAGATAAAAGTAAAAGGTCATCATATAGTCCAGTTGTTTTTAAACATGCCTTCTCATTAGAAGCACAATTGGAGCTTTGGAGAAAAAAAGCAATACCTGGGCATTTTTACTTTTCAAAAACTTCCAAGATAACTCTGATATCCATCTGGATTTTAAAAAGGAATTTCAAGTTTTTGTGTTAAATGGTAGTTTTAGTGATATAGAATTCTATTACTTTCTATTGACCAATCATGATCCAATGGTATTCGGTGAATAACAGTTAACACAATCGCAATAGTAAAAGATGTTTATCAGTTTTCACAATCAGTAGCCAGACAAAAAATAAAAGATAACTACAATGGCAAGCCATAATGGAAACATGATTAACTTAACAATATAAATAGTTATATATAATTTGGTGGGTTAAGTAGACTCATGTGGTAAGTGAAAGTTCATACATGCACATTTTTCATTTGCCCATCCAGTTTATGTCTTTTGGTTGGTGGATTTAATCCAATTACATTTAAGGTAATCATTGATATGTATGATAGACCCTACTACTATTTTCTTAATTGTTTTGGGTTTATTTCTTATAGGTCTTTTCCTACTTTTGTGTTTCCTGCCTAAAGAAGTTCCTTTAGCATTTGTTGTAAAACTGGTTTGGTGCTGCTGAATTCTATTAACTTTTGCTTTTGATTTCTGGAAAGCTTTTGATTTCTCTGTCAAATCTAAATGAAAGTCTAGCTGGGTAGAGTATCCTTGGTTGTAGGTTCTTCCCTTTCATTGGTTTAAATACATCATGCCATTCCCTCTGGCTTGTAGATTTTCTGTTGAGCAACCAGTTGATAACCTTTATCATCTTTCCCTTGTCTCTTTTAATGTTTTATCTTTGTCTTTGATTTTCGTAATTTTGATTACTATATGTCTTGGTGTGTTCCTACTTGGGTTTATCTTACCTGGGACTCTGCACTTCCTGGACCTGACTGACTCTTTCCATGTCAGGTAAGCTTTAAATTATTATCTCTTCAAATATTTTCTCAGGTCTTTTCTCTCTCTCTTCTCCTTCTGCTAAGTCACTTCAGTTGTGTCCGACTCTGTGCGACCCCATAGATGGCAGCCCACCAGGCTCCCCTGTCCCTGGGATTCTCCAGGCAAGAACACTGGAGTGGGTTGCTATTTCCTTCTCCAATGTGTGAAAGTGAAAAGTGGAAGTGAAGTCACTCAGTCGTGTCTGACTCTTCGCGACCCCATGGACCACAGCCTACGAGGCTCCTCCATCCATGGGATTTTCCAGGCAAGAGTACTGGAGTGGGGTGCCATTGCCCTCTCCGCTTCTCCTTCTAGGACCCCCTATAATGTGAATGCTGTTTAAATAGGACCCCCTATTCATGTTGGTTCTCATGTTGTCTCAGAGGTCTCTTAGGCTATCTTCACTTTTATTCTTTTTTCTATATTCGGTTGTGCTGTAGTGATTTCCACCATTCTGTCCTCCAGGTCACTTATCTGTTTTT